CGGAACCAGGGTTAAGGACACCTGAAAGGGATTTCTATGCTGCACCTAGAAGCCAGACTTTATCCTGAAAAGAGCAGGCTCTCTGAGTCTCAGCTACAGGCAGGGTTTCAAATGGCCTGTGACCCCACCTCCTCCGCAATTTTATGCACAACTGTAGGTGTTTCTAATATGTGTGCTTCTCCGAGGAGGTCTGTGCTTTCATGAAATTCTTGAGTCCTGTGACCCACACCCATCAAGCTCCCTGCTCTCGATGAGGGAGCCACACAGGCTTGGCATGGAATATCCACGTGCTCCTGGCTCATCAGCAGACAGGGTGTGAGGGTCGGGAATGTGGACCCCGCCTCACAAAGCTCTCTGATGATGGGGCCTTATGACCTCACCCAGCCTCAGACCCGAGGGACCTGGATTTCCCTGAACCATCGGGCGTTTGACTGGCTGCCCGCCCAAACCCCTGCGCATCTCATACTTGCCAAGTCTCCGTACCTCTGGCTTCCCTTTAGCTGTCTTTCTTCTGTGACCGCTTCTTCTTTTCAGCTTCTAGCTGTTGTTGTCTTGCTTCCAATCTCTTCCTCTGGTATATTTTGACTCCGGCAAATGCCAGGCAGAGAATTAATGTCTTTGCTGCCAAGATATATAGCAGCAGGGGCACATGATCGAGAACCTTGGAGAGAAAGAAGCTGTTCTAAATGTCCAGTATGCTCACAGGCCTGGGGGGCTGGATGGATTTTAGAGGCGACTCTGTCTACCCCCCATTCTACAAACAAAGGACAGTGAAGCTCATGAGGCTTAGAGGCCCATGCACATGACGGGTCTAACTCATGATGGGGCCAGAGCAGGAACGGATCATGCTGACCCACCCCAGTCTCCCTCCACTGGTTCCTGATCTCCAATGAACTGGGATAACATCACAAATCATGTACATATATGTTCCCATAACTTCATTCACATTTTTTACGACTCAGACCTCGATGTGGATTTCACAGTTAGAAAGTGCAGCACTCGGTTACCAATCCACAGAGAGCGTGCCAGGCGCCAAGCCAGCACAGCGAGGCTCACGCAGGTGCTTCCCTCTAATCCGGTAATGTCCTAGGAGGCAGAGAGACTGTACTAACTTCACGGCTGAGAAAAGGTAAATTCTGGAAAGGTTAGGGTCTGACCGAGTTCCGATGCTCCAGAGCCTGAACTTGTCAACAGCACACTTCACTGTCCCATACAGGACGCTCTCAATCCTCACCAATTTCACAATTAAACTGCAAGTAAACAGATGCCTTCCTCTGAAGTTACTCTGCTGGTTACTTATGGGTATTTGAGGAAGTTGCACTAGGCATACAATGGAAATCAAAAGGAGAAACCAAATATTTGAATTGTTTTAACTGAAACAGTAAGAACTCTAAGTGGACAGCAGCTTACACCCGTGAAACCATTTAACAGTAAAGAACAAACACGGCAGACCCACCAGAAAGGTCCCTCTGGCAGTAGTAGACGACTGAAAATTTACAAAAAAGCAGCTTTATCCACATGAATACAGCAGCTTGGAATACTGACTTGGTTTCCAGGTCCTCCCTCCCCCAGAGCTCCTGCTCACCTCCCACACACTTGGAGCTCACCTCCCTCAGACCTGGAGCTCACCTGCCCCAGACCTACAGCTCACCTCCCTCATCTCCTCCAAATTGCCCTCTAATTTCAGTTCTTGCAGGTTCCCATTTTAGAGATGAGACTCCACTCACACTTATAAACCAGCTACAAAAAAACAATGTGAAATGTCACCTTCTTTTACCTCCTTGGAGGCAAAAATCACCAGTTTGTTGCCATAAATAAGCCTCTTGGTGCATCCCAAGGACTTTCCAGGCTGAGCACTGACTGACGCTGGAAGAAGTCACCCTCCTCCAGTTCTCAAACTCTGCGGTCCTGCCACACCTACATCACAGCCACAGTTCCCAGGAGCTGACCACGCAACTGCCCAAGCAAGTACAACAGGCAGATTGCAGGCAGAGCCAGGAAACCCACTGACACGGAAACACCATAGGCAGGCTGGGGAAGTAGTTTCGTGTTTACTCTCTTCTTAAGGGTCCAGACAGGAGGTGGCAGGAGAAGTTTCGGGTGAGAGGGCAGAGCGGAGGCAGCTGGGGTCAAGGGCACTCTGAAGGCTAATGCGAAGGGTTCAGGGCCCTTCCTGCCTCTCAGGCACTGAGCTTCAGTTGGGTAAATCTCTTCCTTTGACTTCTAGCAAATTCCTCGTGTTAACTCTCAAAACGTGCAAACCTCAGGAGGTGATGAGTACAACGTTGCTGGGCGGACGGGAGCCACATCAGCCGTTTAAACCAGGCCCGGTCCCTGCATCTCAAGGACACTGACTTCCTACAGGATGAGGCCACGGGGTATACCAGGGCTCCACGCTCCTCCATCTCCAGGGCTCGAGTAGTCGGGCGCAAGGACAGTCCACTCCTTTCTAACACTAAGGGATAGGCGCTTTTTAAACACGAGGGAGCCCCAGTGCTTGCAATCAGGGAGTTCTGGGCAAAAGCTCAGGACACAGGAAGGACTCCTTAACAAGCGGGATTTGCCTGGGTGGTCAAGTGGTCTATTGTCTCCAAGCTCTGGAACCCACACATGCTAAGCAAATGCCCCCACATTTCAACCTCCTCAGAGCGTCCTCACTCTGCCTCCTCAACCGTGACCAGCTCCTCCTGGAGGACAGTCCCCATCACCTTCCTGCAGCCCCCAAACCCCGTGCCCTGGGGAGCTGGGAGGAGGGGATCTGTACCCTCCGAGCTCCAGCTTCCAGACCTTTCCAGACCTTCTTGCAATAAAAAACTAGGGGATATTTTGAACAAGAAAATGCTTATAATAATTGAAAAAAAATACACAATTTAGGAGTTTGAGAATACACACGACACATATATGAAAAAGTACACCCAAGCTTCGCAGTACCTCTCTGGATGGTATGATGATGCGTGATTTCTAGTTGATTTCCTACTATTCAAAGTATCTACAGTAACATATTATTTCAGTGGCTGTCCTGTCACCAACCTCCAGCTGGCCCCACCTGCTTTGGGGATTTATCGGGATGTGACCATCCCTCTCCCAGGGACAGTCGGCCAGTAGGCTCCCCTGGCTGCCCTTGAACCTCTGCTCCCAGCAGCCCATCTGCTGTTTCCCTGGGCTCAGTCCTGTTTACTCCCAGCCAGGATTTGCTGAACTTGATGTTACAGCAGATCGTTTCTTTAAACCTGACACTCATGAAACATGACTACGTGAAGACTGTGCCCATGGAAACCACATGGATGCTTTCAATGCATGTGCAAGTTTGAGTTAGAAAAGACACACACTTGTTGGCAACACGTGAAGATTAAGGAAGGGCATAGAAATCTGGAAAGATTTTGTATACAGGCTGCTCTGTAAGATGGTAATCCACTTTTAAAAAAACCAAAATGTGACACTGTAGGTGGCTTTATAGGCATGGGTTTTGCAAGACAAGTAGGGCAGACCTGACCTCGCTGGGTGCCTGCCCTTGGAGAGAAGGCCTCGCCTTCCTCCCAAGTCTGGGTACTCAGTGCACATTTGCATGTTGTAATTTAAAGTAAAATATAACTATTATGATGATTTCTGCTTGAATCTACTTTTTTTTATTCTGAATTTTTACAATCAGGAGAGAAAACCCGAGCCATCAATGTTTAAAACTATGGTCACCTTCCAGTTCATGCTGGACCGACTATGAGTCACTCCCGGTCAATGCAGATCCTGGACCAGCACATGAGCAGCAGCAGCTGGACGGTCAGGCTTGCTGGTCTACAGTGGAAGACAGGAAACAGGTTGGTGGGGTTTTCTGGAGCAGACCACCTCAGGAAGGCTTCTCTGATGGAGGGGGCACACGAGCAGCAAAGAACAAGCTCTGTTGAGAGGGGCTTGAGCGTCCTCAGTAAGGTGACACAGAGCATGGTGGGGAGCAGACCGCCTGGGTCAAAGCAGAGACAGGCGTGGCTCCTGTTGCTCAGAGAGACCTCTGCTGACCTTTGCCAGGATGGAAGCACAGCCCCAAGCAGAGGTGGAAAGCTGCTCTGAAGGGGACATATGTTCTTGTTCCAGTCACCTGAGGACATGAGAGCCCAGGTCCAAATCAGTTCCTCTACCCACCTTCCGCCTGGATCAAGAGCTGCTTTGTGGATGAGTGACTGTTTCTCAGGTCCCCTGAGGATTAACTAAGCAAACCTAGGTTTTTAAAAAATATCTGGAGGAAAAGGAGTAAACAATAGGGGAAAGTTGTCCTAAGAAAGCAATTTCTATCAAGAATTTCCTCTAAAAGTGAGGGAGACCCAGGGAAGGCGAGGCAGGATTTGGCGAGGCAGGGACACAGCCGGAGCCTAGGAGTTGCTCTGAGGCCTCGTTTGTCACTATTTGGGAGACTGTGACACACACCCCAAGAGTCAGGAGACTTGATCTCTGAGTGAAAAAACTACACCCTCTGATGACGTCCCTCTTGGGACCTTGGTCCCATCTGCAAATGAAGAAAAGGGGTGTCAACTGATGGGCTCAGGACCCCTACTGTTTCTAAATGTGAAGACTAACAGCTTCATTCTGCAGTTTGAGCCAGGCTGCAGGGCCTTAGATACCCAGGCTGCAGGGCATAGATGCACTAACTCACTGTCTCCACTTCAGACACTGGGAAACACAGAGTTTAGGTAACATGTCCAGTGTCACACAGCGGGGAACTGGGATTTGAGCCCTCCGACTCCACAGTCTTCTCCTGATGCAGGCAGAGAGCTCTGCACTCAAAAATCACAGGGATGCTTTTCTTTAAATAGACTTACAATTAAAATTAAGAGAAGCAGCAGAAAGTTTCACAGGCCTTTAGAATGAAGATAATAAGATGAAGTTTAGGGAAGATGTTTTATAAAAACTTTCACTTATAGCCTTGGGAGTGTGGTTCAATGGTTAAGAGTGTTGGCCCACAGACCAAAGAGTCTTGGGTTCCATTCCCAGTCAAGGGCACGTATCTGGGTTGCAGGCTTGATCCCCGGCCCTGGTCTGAAGGGTTGCCAGTTTGATTCCTGGTCAGGGCACATGCCCGAGTTGAGGGGCTCCATCCTTGGTGGGGCGTGTGCAGGAGGCAGCAAATTGAAGTTTCTCTCTCCCTTCCTCTTGTCTTAAAAACCAATAAAATTTTTTAAAGTTCATACGTCATCTGTTCAAGGTCACAGTATCTTGATAACAAGCTGGGAGTGGGCACAAGACAGTCAAGTTTTCTCCATGACTTTCAAAGTCAGATAGCTAATAGGAATTTACACCATACTCTGTTTAAATGCAATGACGGTGACTGAAGGTGCTCATGACCTTCCAGTGTAAACGGCCTATTTCTCTTTAAGTAGCAGCAGATTCTGATCTGCGCTGAAGTACTTTCCTAACATGTTATAACCTGTTGCTAGAATTTCCACTTTGAGTAATCTCCAGTAATCCCAGGGATTAGCCATGTTGTAAATTAAAATAAAATGTTTAAGGGTGTGTACAACTCCTTTAATTAAGTTGTGTACAAATACAGTAGGTGAGTCTGGCTGTCCTCACTACGTACCTAATGAACCTATGGAAGATGATTCCCAAGGTCAAGGACAACAGATGGGTCCGAAACACTAGTGGCAAAAAGTAAACTAAAAAGAACACCGTGGTCTGGCCCTCTGGCAAACATGCAGAGCAAGTCCTCACGTAACATTGTCAATTGGTTCTGTGACTTTAAGGGAAACAACATAAAATGAAACCAACTTTACAAGAGACTAATTAATATAAACAAGAGTTAAGTCCCTACAACATCCCATCAATGTAATAATGAAACAACAGCGAACAAAAGGACGTTTTTGGAGGACCTGTGGTACCACGTTTACTAGTGGTATGACCTTGGACAGTCACTTGGCCTCTCTTAAGCTTCACTCCCTCACCTGCAAATTCTCCCTGGAGACGGGATTATGAACACTAAGCACCACGTTCAGCCCGTGGAAAGTACTAAGTAAGCGTCAACCGCCATGGTTATGATAAACGCCTCTCCTCCCACTAACGGACACGCTGAGCGGAAGAACACGAACAAGAGGCATCCGGGGGGGGGAAAATGCAGTCACTGCAAGACAGCGGGCACGGTATAAAGCACCACCAGAGGGCCAGGGGAGCTGACAGCTGGGCTCTACTTATTCCGGGTGGCACCAATGGAAGGGCATGTGGTCTGGGGCAAGTCATTAACCTCTTTGAACCAAAAGCGTCCTCATTTTTAAAACCAGACTCCAAGGAAAAATTCCGCAACTCTGGAATTCGTAAGCCACCATTCTCTCCGGTACCACGGAATCGGACTGTACAGTTATACTGGCTCGACTGCCTCGACTTCATACCTCGACTGGTACAATTCAAGCTCTTTAGGACAGAAATATTTAAAGCCAACCTGCAAACAGCGGAAGGGGCGCGGTGAGGTGGGAGGAGGGGGCAGATCACTGCAGCTCGCTGTCACCGCTGCCTCAGCGTCAGAGGGACTGGCGCCTCCCTTAGGGACAGGCTCGGCCCTGCCAGCCTGCAGACCTCGGCAGGACTTCGGCAAAAGAAAACTGAGAGCGCTAAAAATACCCACCGGCTGTCTGCTCCGGCGCCACGCACACACCTGCTGCAACATGGAAATAGGACGCAGCTGGTGTCTGCGGGGGGAACTGCAAACGCCGACAGGAAGGGGGCAATTCTGAGCCATAAAACCAGTCTAAGTAATGCAGGAAATTCTAAACTTCCCCTGGAGCTACTCAGTCTTAGCTTAAAGCTCAAATAATAATAATAATAATAATAATAA